GTGCCAGGAGGACTGCGACCAGTTATACATCGGGGAAACAAAGCAGCCACTGTTCAAAAGAATGTCCCAACACAGTCCACCCCCTGTTAACAAGAGGTATTAGTTAGGTGTCAACGATAGCCATGTGATGTGAGTATCAGTCACCTGGAGGCAGGACTCAAAAAAGCCTGAATTTTGCCTGAAACTCTCAGACTGAAGAAGTCTCTTGGAGGAGAGACGAAACGTTTCATTAAAGAAGAACCTGTCCAGAGGACATATACAATTTTTTTTTTCCTTTTGATTAAATATAATCATATTGCTCCAAATCAAGGTTGTTAAAAGAGCTATTTTCAACAGGTAAGATAGTAATTGTTTGTAACTTTTTTGCAGAACCCTACTTTAAAAGATCTGTCATATTTCTTTGAGATTTCTGACCTATAACTATTAAATGATTTATATTTATTATTAAAGCTTATAAAAACCCTTACCGATGACGATCAATGTCAAACATGCATATAACTCAAAATACAGTTAGTACTTTCAAAAATATACACATAAAGTCACCTAAACCATGAGTTCTCAAGCCATTTGGGTATGGGGACCCCTTTCAAGTGTGAAAAAAATTCAGGGACCACTCAAAAGCCCCATGCTGTTTTAAAAGATCAATTATTGTCATTTCAACCCCTAAATGCATGGGAATATATCAACCCCTAAATGCATGGGAATATATCAACCCCTAAATGCATGGGAATATATATTTGTATTAAGTTTATTATATTTGTTTTATTAGTTCATTGTTCTCCATGAATTTTTAAAAATAAAAATCAAAAGTAACAATTTAGTGAAATTTTTTGAGAACCCCAAAGATACCTCTCGCGGACCCCTGAGGGCCCTGGGACCCCAGTTTGAGAAACTCTGGTCTAAACAACCAAAATATAAAAACAGATGTTGTCTCTATAGTTCTTATGACATTTCTGTTTCTTGATTGCCTTTAATTGTTGCAGAAGAAAAAAATTGTCCTGCTTTGTTTTTAGCACAGTTTTAGGTTATGATGCCATCCAGATTGTGAAGGAGACGAGCAGATTGAGCAGATTGAGCAGAAGCATCAGCGGTGTCATGCAGTCCAGGTAGAACATGGCGCTCACTCCACACACAGCAGTCAGATAGGCACTCATCCGGCTGAACACAATCTTCCTTACGGTGGTGCAGAACTGCATGACAAGAAGGCAGAAGGTGGTGTTTTAGTGAAGCTGCAGGTCAGGCTGGCATGAGTTAACACTGGATAAAGCTCACCTCATATAAGAGTTCATTTCACTTCAGTGGACTGAACAGGTTGTGCAAATACACACAAATAATCCCACATATCATTGAGGATTTGGGTATTAATGTATTGTGAAATGTTCACATGAACATTTGGTTCAGCTCGGATTAATCTGCGTCATACAGCTTTGTAAATATGATCCTAAACAGCCTTCCAAATATATAATTTCTGACATTTTAGAAAGTGTAAAATAATAAATCAATCTTTGCAAACAAATCTCAAACCTAATATTTGATGTGACATTCAATGACCATAAAAACACAAGTTTTCTGTGTGATAATTTAGTGTTTATTGAAAAAGAAGCACTTTTAAGTACAAATGTTTTTGTTTTGTTTAGACTACTCAAATAGTAATAAGTAAAATAGAATTTGTTGTCCAAAATGGACAAAAATAAAATCAATAACTGAATGTTATTGACTCAAAGTGATCATTTTGATCTTTTGAACTGGTTTTATGAACAATGGATAGTTTTTTAAATCACTTCAGTTTGAAGAAACAGACTTTAATGCTGTTCAGATTAAAGTACACAGATGTTGCCTTAAACTATTTCATTCTCAAACATTTCATAGCTTTATCTTTCAAAGCTTTACATTCATACCTTTCGAAAGAATTTTGCACTTATAATATTTATAATATTTGGACTATAACTCATCAGTCCAGGCAGAATTAAATTGTAGGAGTGCAACAATACATGTACCCSTATCGAACAGTGCTTTAGGTTCAATACACACTTGTATCGAACAATACAGATTTTTTAAATTTACTTTATCAACTTGTCTTCTGAAGATGCTCTGTGTTGAAGGATCAGTGGATCTGTGTTCGACTACTCCACCTAGGCTGCATTTTTGAGCGCAGGTCCACTGAGAAACTTGCTGTTTCAGCAACATTTATTTTAAAAACTGTACTTTTGAGGTTAATCAAATGTTCATAATTAATTTAAATAAATTACAAGTTAAAAGGGGCGTGGAAATTTCTCTTTTTTGCATCGAAAAAATATCGAAACGTAAGACTTAAGTATCGAACCGAACCGAATCGTGAATTTTCTGTATCGTTGCAGCACTAGTAAATTCATAGTTTACCTAACTGAAACTGTTCAAGGAGTTATTTCTGGAAAACAAAGGAGAAACACCAGCTACAAGCAGGTTTTGGTTTTTGTGCAAAGAAGCATCAATCATATACTGAATGCTATAAACTTGTTATTTGCCTTATAAAATTTGTACCTTTTTAAATTCATCATTTACTGTGACAGGAAGTACATGCAGAGTTTTATTTATTTATTTATTCATTTATTTAGTTAGTTAGTTAGTTAGTTAGTTAGTT